GAGAACAATTCAATTCCTCTTAGTTCACCATGCAAGTTCTTGAACATTATTTTGTGTAGTTTACATGATATTCCTCTGACTGCTATGAGGATAAGTTTTTATGAATATAAAAATTATCCCAACAACACGCACGTTACCAAACAGTACTGTTTGACTCCCCAGCTTGGTGAATAGTGGTGTGGTAAGAGTGACTAAATGTCCTTAGTCTTCACTTGTGCGACCATAAATAGTCTAATAATATGATTTTTCTATCAGTATATGGTAAATATTACCGTCACTTTACTACTAATAGTATCCAAGTTTGGATACTCAAAGTCGATGAGTAATGTAGAAATGATTACTCATGTTTCCCATCACATTCGGATCTGTGAAATATAAAATAACGCTTTGGTCATTTGCTTCGGTAGGCCTTGAAAAACTAATAATCTTTAAGCGTTTCAACAACCAACCATTTTGTTTGGTATTAGTTGGGATGAACCACTATCCAAACATTTGAGTTGGTCGTTGGTTTGGGATTCCCGACTTTATGTATGAATACTCGGATGACTAGTCGTTGTGACAGATATTGGCATGATATATCGCAGTATTTTGCTGAATACTAGCAAGAAATTGGTTATCATCAGTTTTTAGCCGTTTGGAAATAAAAAGGTGTAAAGCCAGTTAATCATCATCAACGTAGAATCTGGTAGAAGTTCTCATTACCTCGAAATACCATAAGGCGTCCACACGCTGAGATGAAATTACCAAGATGGGAAGCAGGAGAGGCTGAAAAAATATAATAGCAGTACCACTGGATCAAAGTCCTGAGAATGTAGATCCGACGTGACGACAGGTCGTATTAACTCTCTATGTGCCATTATAGCAACGATGGACCTTCAGTCAGGATAGTAGGTCGGTGGACCTGTGTTTATTCTTGCAGCCTATTTTCCAGTGAAGATCTAGCTTCGCATTGAAACGTTCACTGATGAGACTGATGCCATTTGTTTGGGTAAGACGTCTTCATGATCCAGTCGATCAGCATAGTAGAGAGCTAGACTGCTGATTTTCTGTAGACTAAACAACAAAAAATCGATTTTCTTTTGATATCAAGCGTAAAATTGGTCTTTTTCTATTTGAACAGGAAATACATGGTATCTTTGCTTGTTTGAGTCTGGTGACGATTTTACTTTGAGTTGTTTTACAACTTGTCAACCTATTCCACTATTTGTGCAACTATGGTTGTACACCTTGTTTACTTTTACTAACATCAGAGCCATTGAAATGTTAGGAATCTTGAGTAGTTTAATAGACCCTGAAGTTAAAATGGTGATGCACTTTGAATCGTTTCCTGAAGAATAGTTTTATTGCCTGAACTCAGTACGTTAAAGTATTCTGAAAGATTAATTGTAAATAGACTACATTTCTAATGTTACTGGCTTGTATTATCAACTCTAAGATTAGTATGATAGCTAGAAGTGGATCAGCCATAGTTTTGTACTTCAAGGTTCATTAGATACGGGGATTCTTTAAATTTGCTGTTAAACAAAACACTGTCAAATTTGTACTCTTATCGTAATCAACTGTTGTTCCCAAAACCTGAAGTTTGCTACCTATTTTCTCACTAGATATACGGGTCTTGATCAATTCATTTTAAAACATATTAAAGCCTTTGTGTTTAGCTAATTAGCTTCCACTAAGATTTGATTAAACTATATGGCGTATCTCGCCAAAACAAATTGCTATCCCTTTTCTAACCAGTCTATGTAACTCATTCTTCATAATCTATTCCAAACAAAATAGAATCAGTTTATATATTAAGAAGATAAACCCTCTCTGAAAAGATTTCTCTCCGAAATGCTTGACTCTATGTTACTATGATCAATAATTCGTAAATGGAACTTGACCGTGCTATTAGTTAACTTCTGTATCGAGTGTGCGACCATTTTGTATCGTAAAGCCGTTGCTAAGACCTTTAGTGACATATTCGCACTCAGAACGGAAATGTTTGGCAATTTGAAAAGTACGCTTATGATTTTGTATGAGTTGTTTCCTGAGTTTAGGACTCCTGAAACGTGAAGTCAGATAGTTGCGAGGTTGAATACGGAGTTATTTACCGAGACTGTACTAATAAGCCTGTGTTTGAAGCTTTGGTATAAAACCTCTTGTTGTCTATTTCAGAGCATGAGGTAGTTTGCTGAACTGTGTGATTTCATGTCAGTTGTAAACAATTTTTCAGTAGTCTTAGTTTGTCGAATAAAGCAAGCAGTTATCTTTGTATTCACTCAGCATTCTCTAATGGGTCATAGGCTTCTCTATCAATGGAATTTATAAATTGGCTAAAGTGTTATCTTTCTTGGAATTAAGGTAAATTCCAAGCTTTGAAACAGTCCAGGTAATCTTCCAATTCCAAAGGTAAAGCTACAATAGGTAACTCCTCAATATTTTTAGAATCCAGGTTATCCGCTACTCCAGATGTGTTATGAATAGGCTAACGAATTGCTATTTATTCCAAATAGGCTCGAGCTTCGATAAGACCCAATCAAGAAGTTGAATCTAAAATGTTCAAAAGGAGATCGTAATTTTTCTATTATAACAGATTAACACAACGTTAAGCATTTATTCACACACCAACTGTGTTAACTGTTCATCTAAGTACAAATAAATATTTTTAGGCGTTTTGAATACTTGTCTGAAATTCAGGTGGTAATATAGATACTGATTTTTAAAGGTAATTATGTTAGCAACTATCTTACAGTCTACAGGTCCTCCTTTCAAATGAGTGTAGTGTCGGTAAATAAAAATTTAAAATTCACTAAGTTTTAAAAAATGGTATTTACTATGATATATAATGTATTTGTAATATTCCAATGAGTAGAAAAATGAGATTTTCTGACGTTTCGTGATTCAGTGTAGGCCACTTCTTCAGAGAGTAAATAGCTAAATCAAAATTATTCCAAGTATAAATAGTTGTTCCTTCGTACCATTTAAACTTGGATTAATTTTGATTTGATTACTAACTCTCTGAAGAAATGGCTTACACTTAGATACGAAACTTCAGAAAATCTACTCATTTGGATATCACAAATATTTTAATAGTTGAGATCGTGATTTAACTGGAGCTGGACCACCATGGAAAACCTGGGAGCACTGGACGGCCGTTTCGTCCTATTATGGCACTTCTCAACAGTGCGCATCCACAATCTCGCCTCGCAAGATTCGAACACAGGAACGATCGGTCTCGCGCGCGAACGCTCAACCTCTAGACCACTGAGCTGGCATGCAACGGTGTTAATGCATAACTCCAATTAATTCACGAAATTGGGCGATACATCCACCGCAGAGGAGTCCCATAATAGGACGAAACGGTCGTCCAGTGCTTCCGGGTTTTCCAAAGTGGTCTAGCTTCAAGTGACTCATGCTCTCAACTATTCAAATTACTATTATATCCACAAAATCCCTTCTTATATTACAACTATATTATTATATTTATAACAATCTACCCAATAGTCAATTTATTCGGAATTATCAAGTCAAACCTTGGTAATGATACTCACTGTGGTTTTATTTAGAGCAGTTGGAAATTATTTCATATTAAGGCCTACGTGTTCAGGCCTACCCAACTTAGTTGTCAGCAAGATTTACCCATTTATAAAATGTACTGTCATAAGTAATTCCAAGTTTTTACATCAAGCTGTCACTTACGTTTTAGAAACTAAGTAAACGCTTGGAATAATTTGTGACTTATTTCTGTTGTTGTTATTCCATTCTTATAACTGTGTCACAGGCGAAACATGGAAAACGCATCCTATTGAGGTTTTTCAGAAGCGATTAAGCTCTAACATTAAGAAAACTGAGACGACTTCAAAATCAGTCATGTAAGTTTTGCTATTGTCTACAAAAGCTGTTTCTTAACAACAGGTTGTTTCTGCAGAATGTATCACGGATTGCAATAAAATGCCTTTTTAATTTAATGATGGCGAGTAGGTGAAAGGTAAATGCAAGTATAAGAAACTCTTGATTTCAATGCATAGATAGTGGTAGAAAATGTAAGCGGTTTTTATAATCATTGGGTAGATTATTGAATAGATCCCATTCCCGTCGTCGAATATTCATTGAATTCGCTTGCTACTTCAGTTGTAGAATGACATTTTTCTACAATGCAAAACAAATAAGTGAAAGCAACATTTAGGTAGGATTCAGTATCAAAGAGGCGAATTCTCGAGTTCTTGTTATAAATAGACAAACATATCATTTCTTTAGGTGTTAACTTACATAAATCATAAAAGACGTAAATATATTGTCTGAGTTATTTAAAGTAAATTATTTCACTCTTAGCATTGTTTTGTAAATGCTGCATCTAAGGATTACAGTTCCATAGCCAACCAGCGTCACAGCGATGCTGCCTTCCCACGAGGAGGGGTGTGGTTAGAATAGGTTGACGCTAAAAATGCATACTTTGGCTTATCCGACGGATATCCGTCTCTGGCGGTACGACTTCAACAATTGCGGAGCTAACACAAAAATTACTCACACGAAAGTCGTGTGTGACCGACCTTTCATGCAGTTGTCCCTTGGGCACTGCGGTCACGCTCTTAGGTCACTAAGACCACCTCTAATCCAACTTCTTTCTCAGGTACCTCCAGAAGAACTCTTCCACAGTGTGAGCAACCGGGATGTGATAATCGCCCATATATTTTTAACAGCACTCAAGACATTTACTTTTATTTTCTGTCAACACCATGAATAGGGTTTTCAGGCCTTCTTAATTATATCAATAGAATCCAATACGTAGGCTAAATTCATTTTGTTTGCAGTATAGATCTTGTCAATTCGCTGATTTTAGCTCATAAATGTCAACCTGTTAGGTCTCATAGGAACGAATAAAAGACGCGAACAGACAACAGCATCTTTCAGGGAAATACGGAGTTGGGGTATTTAGATGTTCTGAGATTGCTATGTAGTTGACTTAACCCTGTTAAATTCACTTAGATATCCATCTTTCATATTTTCTCCAAAATTAGGGAGTTTTATCGACGACAAGATGAACATATTCGTGAATTGGAGAAGATCGCAACTATTATGGAGGCAGAAACCTCCGATGTAGAAGTAACCTCCAATCATCATTCTATTAGGCGGCAAACGCGAATTAATACAATGATTATTGGTGTTGTATTTTGTGCCAACGTGGTAAGTATAATATCATTAATAATTAGTTTACGAAAATTACTAAAACGGAAAGGAAAGAAATTTCATTCCAATGCAGAATGAACTATCCTTGGTAAATTCTAATAAGTTATTAATGCTCAGCGTTTACATGTTTCCATCTAGCTATTGTAACATAGGAAAATTATTTAGAACATATAATAAGTTTACAAACTAGTAATCTGTCATCTGGTGTTTCGATTGATCTTAGTTCACCATCTGCAGATTTTCCATCTGCTTTATTACTTTCGCTTTAAGCAATATCCGTTTAATTGACGACTAGTGATTTCAAATAACCAGTCATTCATAACGAACGCAAAATGTTAATTTCTAGTAATATAAGTTTAGTGGTTTACGGATCGTAAACATCAAATCGTTTTTTTCCATAGCATAAGGCTGATATAATTATTAGATGACTAAGATCGAAACAATCATTTGTTACCAAAGTGCCGTGTAAATTTTTTACCATTCTAGTGAATATAGGGAGATTAAGTTTACTGGTGTCTTGGATTAAGCAAGCAATTTTCTTTGAGTTCATCCTCTTCGAAACAACGAACTAGTAAAACCTCTTTTCTAATTTTTTACGCTAGACGTCTGGTTTTATTTTGATATAATTCCTGCACTAGTTTATTCTCCTTACGTTTTATGAATGTGACACTTCTTTCACTATGAAATCAATTTATATTTTATTCAGTGAAATTTTAAATGAAAAATATGATTTTCTAATAGTGTTATTATTTGTCTAACGATTTTACATTGTATGTATGAAAATAACTTGATAACTTTTAACTATCATATTGCCCATTTGGAATTACATCAATATAGGTACTTTTATTGGGTAAAGCTGTAGCATCTGCATTATCAGGGTCATTAGCAATCATATCATCTTTGTTAGATAGTTGTGTCGATTTGGCTTCCGGTGGAATCATGTGGTTTGCTGCTCGTCAAATGCGTAAAAGGAAGCCATACAAATACCCAGAAGGTAATTTGGTTTAAAAATATTTTAACTGTTCATAAAATGATCTACGGTTTGTAGGCTGTTTATTTTAAACTGTTGTTACAGTTGTTTTAAGTGGTCTTTTAAATACGACATGCAGTTGATTCCACTAACAGTATGAATGACTCTCAAAATATGGACTGGTGAATGATGTGTTGGAAGAATTCTGCACATTTTAAACATTTGTCAACATATAACTTTTCTGCCACTAAATTTGGCAATCTTTTAGCGTTCTCGTTTTTCGAATGGTGTTTTACACATCGATATTAATTCTCAAAGTATCACTTCATCTAGTTATCGAACAAAAGTTGTAAATGTATTCGATTTTTAATTGAACACCATCATCAATTTACTGTGAGTATCTATTTACAAGCCTTTACTTAATTAGACTGGTTATTTCCGAAACTACTGAAATGTTCAGATATAGTATGAAGAAAGAATAAGTAACATATAATGGCAATTTACTTCTAAATTTTTTAAGAAAAAGTGCATATCTTTCAGTAACTAGTTACCAAATTGTTGTAACGGGTGAGGACTGCAGGGTTTGGATACGCAGCGTTATTTATCGATCGCGATCTGTGACAGTGACACGGAAAACACGTAAGGATGACCTAGTGCCCTGATTGGCCCTGCTTCGCTGTCTAGCCCCAGCCAGTTGAGTCAAGAACACAATTCACAGCCTCTGGGTTATGAATCATTATATTTCAAGCATACCTTGTTTATATACCAGTCAAGCAGACCACAACGTACCATAAAATAGAAAATAACATTGTGTACAATATTTAACAAGTGAACAAATATCGACCAATAGGAAATGTACATTTAAGGTCCAAGGACACCATTGGACTTAACATGATAATTATTGGTCTCTTTTTCCGACTATCCTAACACCTCCCCTTTTTCGAAAGATGTGGAGTTCATATCTGCGTTTTAAAATTTTCTGCATCCGTCCTCCCCCGCGAAATAACGTTGGGTCCTCATATACCCAAGCAACAATCAGTCTGATCCTATTTAAAGCATATTTCGCGCATTGAGTAGAGGGTTCACTAAAACTGACTAGATGAGGATTAGCAACACCAGACATGAGGTCATTAAGGTTTGATTCTTGTGCAACATATTCTTCAGACCTCTTCAAAACTCCATCAGTGGGTAATAGGTCACCAATATAAACAGCGTCTTTGAAATTCGTATTGGATTTCTGACCATTATTTGATGCACGGGAAACATTTTCTGGCACGAGGGGTTCTTTTTCCGACTATCCTAACACAAATTTTAACAAAATATAGAACTAAGTTATGAGTCCAGTCGCCAAGAAGTTATAAAAAGTGACATCCGATAACAAAAATTATCGCAGTTGCATTGAAGTGAACGAGAACTCAGGTGTGGTACACCAATTGACTGTCTAATGCAAACTTACAAAGTACCTTCGAATAATATGAAAACGATACATTGAATAAATTATATGCACCTTTTTCAGTTGTCCTTCCTGTTTTCTTTAATTTAATCACCTCAACCCGTTGCTGGCAAGCATCTCATTACTGATTGCTCCTACATGCTACTTGTACCCGTAAGCATAAGTAACATGCATCACAGCATGTTGTTAATCATTTGTTCTCTCTATTTAACGTTGATAATACCAGTCTTAGGTATGTAATTGCATGAGCTCTTAAATGGTTGATAGTGAATTGTCATCATCATTTAGCCATGTTGTTAAACCAGATGATTGTAATAAATACTTAAGATCTTAGTGTAAATTTCTAAGATACTTATTATTTATGCTTTACAATTATTAAGTTTACTGAAATATTTATTAATCATTTTTATTCTAGTGTTGGGTTTTTGAAAATCATCTGAAAGTGAAAGAGAAATGAGGTCTCTAAAATGCTATTATTTTATTTACTTCTTAGGGAGAACACGACTTGAACCATTAGCAGTGATTGTACTCTCTGTATTTATGGGTAGTATATCTATACAACTTGTAGCTGAATCTGTACAAGCCATTGTTCGTATGTCGCAAAATAATCAAGAGGCACCAAACGTTAATGATTTAGCATTGGGAATAATGGCATCCGTAATTGGTAAGAATTATATTTAATGTTCATAAATTGTGTTTTCAAACTTTATTTGAAAAGCTGTGACCTAGACCCACAAAATACCTGTTGATTAGTAGCCAATATTTCATTCACTTTACCTATTGTCAATTTAATTGTCTTATATAGCACAAAAGATATAATCAGAGAGTTGAACGTACCCACTAAGTCTCTTTTGTCATATTTACCTGTTAATTTGTAATGGCAGAAGCATCCATGTTGCAAGAGTATAGAGGGTCTTCACTGAGAACTTCTGTAGACACACAACAAGTAATTTGATGGCAAATAATCCCAGAATTCCCAGTAGTAACACAGAGAGATATCGCAATAAAATGTAACGTGTAGTAAATCTCAGTACATTTGAAGAAATAAATACTCGGTACAACAACAGATTTCTACATAAACAAAAGCAGTACTTCTTTTTACTCAATCATGTACTGTTAGTATTATCACTATTATACGGATTGATTAACTATTTTTTGAAGTCACTATATCATATCATGTTTTCTTCCCTACTAATAATAATTCCCATTTGTTACTTGTGGTCATATACACTATTCCTCTATCGATTGAGCTTATACGAATCTACAAAATATTGTAGTTAGTTTTCTGTGTTAAACTATACTATTTTATGAACGTTGTGCACAAAATCACATTCATAAAACACTTTATCTGTAAAAGTTAGTGGCTATGCGAAATATTTTAAATACATGAAATGTAATGAATTTCCACTGTGTCATTGAAGAATAAATATAGCCAATGTATCAAAGTAACTCTGTTTTGTGGCGATATTACTTACTGAAGCTGTGTAATCATATTTGTAGTTCATCAGTAAATTATATTCTTATACTTCCTACACAAAGAGAGCTCTTTATAATTTCATTTTCGAGCATTACTCTGGTTAGTTATCAAAGGGACTATTCCGAATTACTAATGAGCTATTATCAAATGTAATTATTCTGTTTTTCATATTCATCAAATGTATAGTCATCTCTCTCCAATAAAATATTCTTATGTTAACATTTTTCATTAGCCTTTACATCGTTGCACAACTTCACTTTTGTATTTAATGTTTATCAACAATTTATAACTCAATACTACCGAATGTTTACAATTTTTTTATATTCTTCAAGTTAACAATTATCTTTTATCAGTAATCTATTTTTACTTTGATCTGTTACATACTCTTTTTATACTTCAGAAAACTATATATATTTATATATGGCTTACAAAAAATTCAAATAATCAGGAATCAAAAGTAATTATGGATGGTCAACGTGTGCGTATGAACAGATATTAAGGGAAGAAAATAGGACAGTACGATGGTTATACATAAGTTCATGACCTTTTGAAACGGGTGTATATATCGCTCAAATTCTTAAATTATTGCAGCAGACTAGCGGGATTTCTCTTACATTTTATTGTAGACAACTAATAATCACTGACGAATCAGTTAATCACCTACTGACGTTTTAACTACATACTGCTTACCCTAAGATTGATACCATCCTCCAGTTTATAAAAAGTTCAGTAATCCCCAACTCCATGCCTATATTACTTGAAATTTAGAGTTGTATTGCTCTGGAAAAATAAGTGATAAAGTTAGTCTATCTCTTTGCTATATTACTTAATTAACCTATTGAATGATAAATTTACTGACCCTTTTCACATTTATTATCATTTATAGTGACTAAACTAATCTTATGGATCATTTGTTTTAAATTTGGTGGTGGAATGGCTATCGATGCGCTTAAAACCGATCAACGTAACGATATACTTACGAATGCTGCATCAATTTTATTTAGTGGTCTTGCTGGACGTTTACGTAAGAGTTTCTACTGTTTCACTATTTTCTAATAACATTTCAAACTCATCACTATTTCTATAAATAAAATTGATATCTACACTCCAGAAGATTGGATAAACATGTGTTACGTTGGATGCCATCTCAGTGGTCTAGGAGGCCGAATGTCCTGAGTTCAATTTCCAGATAGGGAGTAGTGAGCGCGCATTGATGAGGAATCGCATGCTAGGGCGAAATACTGTAGCTTGTTCCATGAGCTATGACTTTTTATTGGTATTGTTGTCCTGACCGACGCTGCTACCTTGACGTGGTGGTCGGGCTTGCCTATCGTGATTACCCAACCGAGTTATTTTGGCTGGAACATATGTCCCTGTCGGTTCTACCATGCCAGGTAGGTTGATTGGAGAACGGTAAGACTAAAAGCAGCAACTCAAGGTCTGAGGGTGAAGTCGTACTGCTGACTGTAGAGGGGTGTAACAGCAGTAAGGTGTTTCTCTCGGACAACCAGCATGACAGCGATGCTGCCTTCCCACAAGGAGAGGTGGGGTTAGAAGAGGTCGACCCTAAAAATGTCACACCTCACCTTACCTCACGGATTTCCGTCTCCGGCGGTAAGGCCCTTTGAAGAACGGAGCTAACACATTAAAAACCTTCCACGAAAAGGCCGTACGCAACCGGCCTCAAGCAGTTGTCCCTTGGGCTCTTCAGTCACGCTCCCAGGTCGTTAAGACCAACATTAATTCAACTTCCTTTTCAGGTTCCTCAAGAAATACCCTTCCGCGGTGTTGACAGCCTGTAAGTGATATCAGCATTCATGCCCGTAACAGCACACGAGACCAAGTTGTTCACATTCAAATCCTTCCTACACCTCCTAATACCTCTCTTATCTCCATGACTAACCCTCCTCACGTCTCTTTTTCACCTCGCACCGCTAGGGCAAACGATTCGTGTACGCGGAACGTTATTCCCGGTCTCCTGAAACCACTCTCTAAACTACACGTAGGAGCTTTTAACGTCCGAACACTGTGCCAAATAGGACAGCAGGCTTCCTTAGCTAAGACTTTAGAATCCCGCGCCATCGATGTGTGCTGCGTCTCCGAAGCGCGCACACAGGATTCGAGTAGCGTCATTCATTTGACCTCACCATGCCAAAATAAAGAACCGACTCGCACTTCGTGTATCTAGAAGCCCAGATTCTGCTTCCCGTGGCCTCGCCGGCGTAGGTATAGCATTGAGTCTTAGGGCAGAACTAGCTCTCTTAGAGTGGATCCCAGTAGACAGTTGTTTGTGCGCTGTCCTATTAAACGGGACAGTGAGGACTCAGAAAGATAAGGACACTCTTCGTCGTCTCTGCCTATTCTCCCACGGACTACAGCGCAGATGTTGTAAAAGATGAGTTTTACAGAAAGCTCTCCGACCTTCTCCGAAAAGCTAGGCGCTCGGATGTAGTAATAATGGCCGGTGACTTTAATGCTCAAGTAGGTAAACTAAGCGATCGGGAAAGACATATAGGTGGAATTTATAGCATCGTGGCTCAAAGAACACAATGGCGACCATCTGTTGCAGCTATGCTCAGATAACCGCCTGTTTCTTGCAAGTACTAACTTTAAGCATAAAGAAAAACATCTTTTAACATGGCGACCCCCTAATTCGTCCCAACGTTGGACCCAAATAGATCACATCGCTATCAGCCACCGATGGAGGGGCTCGATAGAAGACTGTCACTCATTCTGGAGCACATGCTTAGATTCAGATCATGCTCTAGTACGAGCGCGTATCTGTCTGGGTCTTATTGGACGTAGGAAAGACGCTGCAAGTAAACCTCTTAGTGTTCTGCTTAATGATAGTCAAGCTAAGAGTATATTTCAGGAACAACTAGGAAAACAGTTAGGCAGCCATGTATGTGATGCCCACCACGAGGCAGCATGGAATGATATCCGAAAAGCTGTGGAAACAGCAGTGATATCTGCTAGTAAGGTAAACCATAAGGTTAGAGAGCAACACTGGATCTCAGCAGCATCTATCGCACTGATAGATGCTCGGAAACTCATTCCACCTGGCTCTGAACATAATGAAAAGCGGAGTCAGCTTAAGCGCAAGCTGACAAGAAGTCTACGCAATGATCGTGAACCGTGGTGGGTAGCGAAAGCAAGAGAGATGGAAAAGGCAGCGGCAATAGGTAATAGCAAACAATTGTTCAGACTTGTTAAGGAAACCGACTGTTAGCGAAACACTCTCAGAGAAAGATGGACATTTTATACATTCTCAATCCAGGAGATTGGATCAATGGGCAGAACACTTTAGGGACCAGTTCAACTGGCCTTCAGCCACACTTCGGTTTCCCACAATCTCCAGTCAACCTGAATGACAAGTTAATGTAGGCCCTCCGTCTCTTCACGAAGTTGAAAAAGCTATGGGAAATCTGAAGCGAGGGAGAGCAGCAGGCCCTGACAGGTTTGCTCCTGAGATTTAAGGATGGTGGTTCAGTATTAGCAGTGAGATTAACTGAGGTCTTAGGTAGAATTTGGGAACTGGACGTAATCTCATCTGACTGGCCTTAATCACTGATTGTGCCAGTCCATAAGAAAGGACAAATGTCCTCTTGTGACAATCACAGAAGAATCAGTTTGACAAATATAGTGTCTAAAATATTAGCTTCAATAATACTTCGACACCTAACCAAAGCTCATGAAGGACAGATTGAGAGAATCAGGCTGGTTTTTGACCTGGACGTGGTTGTATAGATCAGATATTCACACTACGTCAGGTTCTAGAACACAGACACACATTCAGACGCCCCACAATGGTAGTGTTTCTTGACCTTGAGGCGGCATTCGACTCTGTTGATCGTAAGGTTCTATGGCAGTGTTTGTCACTGAAAGGAGTACCAAAGAAGTACATTAACCTTATAAAGGCTCTCTACACAAGCACAACTGGTCGAGTGAGAGCTTACGGCGAACTGTCATCAGAATTGATTACCTCAAGTAGTGTTCGTCAGGGCTTTCCATCCTCTCCATTCTTGTTCAACTTTGTCATTGACGTACTTTTAGAGATAATACTTTCCTCGTCTAGATTTCCAGGGGTTGAACTTCTACTGGGAGGTTCACTTGTTGACTTAGAATATTCTGATGACAGAGTTTTATTTGGTGAGGACGCTGACAAAATGCAGAGTCTTCTGACCACTCTAAGCAACAATGCAAGCATGTTCGGGATGCGATTCTCCCCCTCGAAATGCAAAATGTTGCTTCAGGATTGGGTTGCATTGACACCCGAACTAATGATAGGGAGTGAAGTAATTGAGCGTGTCGATCGCTTCACTTATCTTGGAAGTCTCATCAGCCCATGTGGTCTGGTGTGTGACGAAGCCTCAGAACGGATACAGAAGGCTCGACTAGCTTTTGCTAACTTGCGTCATTTATGGCGTAGGTGAGATATCCGTCTATAAACCAAAGTACGGGTTTACTGTGCAGCAGTTTGTTCCATTCTACTTTATGGCTGTGAAACATGGCCGGTAAGAGTAGAGGATATTCGTAGGTTCCTAGTATTTGACTATAGGTGTCTTCGAAATATTGCTCGTATATCCTGGGACCATCGAGTAAGTAACGCAGTTGTTAGGAAACGGGTACTAGGTAAGGATGGCAAATCAATTGATGACGTAGTGAAACTTCATCAGTTGAGATGGCTGAGACATGTGTTACGTATGCCCAACCACCGACTGCCTCGATATGCGATGTTTTGTTGTATAGGAGTAGATTGGAGGAAAGCTAGGGGCGGCCAGACCAAAACATGGCACAAGTCCATGAAGTCACTAACAAGCGGACTGAGTCATGTTGGTAGGTGTAGACTACCTGGTTGGGGACCGCGAGATGATAGCAACCGATGGTGAGAGACCCTGAATGACATGGCTCAAAATCGTTTGCAATGGCACAGGTGCATACACTCTTTGTGTTCTCCCAAATTTTGATCTCCCTATTCCTCCTTGTCTCTTTTTTTCTCTTTCCAAATTTATTTCACTGTATTGTACTCTTTAAATAACATCTCCAAACCCTAATCTTCCCGATTACTGCTTATACTCTTACCGCCTCTATCACTACGGGATTTGAATCGACCACTACATCTGTGTGCTAACGTGGTGTGGCAACTCGAACTGATGTACGTACGTACGAAGTTCTACGTTGTTACTGGCAGACTGACTGGTATTGTTGTACAAAGTCTTTTTACTCATATGCCTTCTCTGTCATTCCTAACTACGTCTTGTTGTTTTGCCTAGACATGTCCTAAGAATTTTGTGTTCAAATATAAGTTGTATATATCTAATCCACGTTTTTTATCATGAGTCTTAATTATTTTTCGAGAGCAAAGTAGATATCATTCAGGTTTGCGAAATGAAGCAAATTGGGTAGTATGGCTATTCTAATCAATTGATTCAGCGTAATACCGTGCTTCAACCCATTGATCTTCCAGGCATTGTAGATAGTTATTTTGAGCTTTATTGATCATTATCTATTTTATGTAGATTTTGGAGAAACAAACTATAATAATAATTATTATTATTAATTAATGGCTTTATTCAATATTATATTTTGGTACAATGTGGAATTCTCGGCACAGGGTATTTCAACAAGTTTCTTATACAAAAAAGAAACAGAAAAAATAGTCAAAAGAAGGAGAAAAAGAAAAACTGTACAACTTTTCAAATTAGAGACATGTTAAGAATGCAGGTTATTATTGACTAGGTTAACTCTAACAATCTGTTCGTCACAGAGTATATTTGCCAGGCAAGGTATTATAGAACTTTTATACTTTTGCTTGTGAACTTGGATCACATAAGTTGTTTCGCTCAAATGTGTATGAGAAATCTATCAACTTAAGGATTGCTCGTATCATTAAATAACGTTAGCTGAAAAACTAATAAAAACTATGAAAATGTAAACAGTCACTATGACCTAGTCTTGAGATTTTTATCATTTATAAACTTCTCACTCGACATTCGCAAATCCATCACAAAAGTCGAAATCACTGATAATTATTTGTCAGTTTATTCAAGGAAATTCTTTATAATATCTAGCAACAATTGTCTGTTCGGACAAATTGATGATTGCTGCGAGTTTTATGTGAATTTTATGTTCAGCGATGTCATTATTTATTAAGGAATAGTAATTCTGGGTTTCTATTTACTCAGTTCTAATCACTGTAAAATAAATGAACAACATTCATTACAGCTCCTTTACTACAACAAAGTAAGTTTTTTAATTATCGATGCCGGGGCTTGTTTTGCCAAGCTGATATATATATATATATCATCAATCAATATCACTATTTTCATCGTCATATCTTCACTGCATTGTCATGTTCTAATTTTCACTTGCTCATTTACGCACGATATCCACTTTTACCGTTATGATATTTGTCATAGATCTGTTTATATTTGTGGTGCTACCAACCGTAATAATAATAAATTATTATTGTTGTTACTTTCTGTATTAACAATTCATCTATTTTTATAAATTACTTTTTCATTCCAATAGTTTCTTTTGACATGCTATCGATTTTATTTGTGAAGTATTATCATCACTATGGTCGTCCTTATTTACGTATTGTTTCTAATGGTATATTATAATGCTGAATGTATCTATTAACAAAATGTCCATAAATTTTATACCTTATATGAAATGGAATATTATGAAATTGAAATGATCTGGATATATTTAAGCTGTTTTATCAACTCAATACGAGTGAAAATATTGAAGATTTGTTCCCTAAAAACTATCATCAATAAAAAATCTCAGGTGTGACCTCAGATTTCCTATTGATTAGTAAGAACACTGTACGTAGGATTTAGGTGAGTTGATTAGACACAGACCAACAATGTTACTAAACAAGTTGAGTTACATGTGTAATACTGAATCACTTACACCTCATTATCAAAATGAAAATCTGTTTTCAGATATTCACAATTACATTTTTATAAGTACACAGTGCAAATTTAGGAATTTTTTTAAAATTAGTCAAATAGATTATCTTGAAACAATTCTATCACAGTGTCAGTATTGTATAACTTGTTCACTCGAACTTCATCATTATGGATAACCAGAAATAAAACCACTGATGACCATGAAGAAATATTTTCATTTAATTCAAACTATTACTGCTTTGAATTTGTCCATGTTTTCAATTATACTCGTTTATATAGTAGATTTGTGAATGTTTTCACTTTCATTGAAATCATCGATTTTTTATGAATCTTATCAAGTTATCTGTTTCTTTGATACTTTATATGATTAATATATATTCTGTGTTGAAATATACTTAATATATTTCTGATAAAGATGTATAAACTGCCTGTAACAGTCATCATAAATTTGTTAAAAACAAAAGAATTTACCTTTCATGACGATTTCTCACCTTTTCTGTCATTTATATAATACATATGTCTAATAAAGCTTATGAGTTTATGTTACAGTAAAAATTTGTATGAATTGAGGGATTCTTGTTTTACTGATATTTGAATTACAACTAAGCTTCTATTGATATTGAAATCTGAATTCTTTTGTCAATAATATAATAATTAATATGATCTTATGTAACTGAAACCGAATATTTGTTACGTAATATAAAGCAATGTTATAAGATGCTTGGAGAAAAAGAATGTGTAAATTCAATTCACTAGGCTACTACATGCGAGTAGCATTGATTCATTTTAGGTAATCGGTTTATATAGAAAGTGAACAAATAATAATAGCTAATCAGATAGGAAACCATAAAATACATATAATTTAGGTCATAATTTACCATTGTTCGTTTTTATAAAAGAAATTTCTCATTTATTTACATCATTGTAAGTTAAATGTGTTGATTTGATTAAATGAAAATAGTTAAAACAAAAGTAACATTTAAAATAGTCCGACCTATTATTTCTAATAATTTTTAGTTGTAAGTAGGTTAATAAAAGCAAACTGGTTGTGCTAGTTTGAATGTTAACATATGACACAACCAAGTCACCATAAAAAGCTCTACGAAATGTATGATACCCTTTTTCCTGATTTTCTCTTCTATTCACGTTTCTTTTTACTTTGTTACATTTATTTCAATACTGAGCAACATGGTTGCCAATGACTACAAGTTATTTCAACAGTGAAGACTTATGAAACAGAATATTCTGTAGACAGACACAAGCTATTTATTAATCATATAATTTACTTAATGAACCAACGGATCACTAAATGAATTCATTGTTTCCTTGATCTACTTGTTTAACACTTAATTATTTTATACAGTGAACATGATTTATATTCCTTGTTTTCAATAAAGAACAGTTTAAAGTGGTTTTCATATTTTCCATGAATACAAAAACATTGGAAATTACTAATAAAAATGTTTAACTTAAGTGAGTAAATTTAGATAATGTAGAATGAAGGCGAAGATTACTGTACTATCGAAATTTATCAAAGGGGCTAATTGCTTTAAATTTGTATAAATTTAAATAATCATTCGATTTTGTTTCACTTGAGTTTTATTTTTCTGCTGGAAATTATTTCATTGTCATGCAAATAATCACTGGCCTTCAAAATGTATTTGAATATTAAAGTTGACTCAAAAATATTGATTTTTACACAGAAATTAAATTTGTGAAACAAACGTTGAAACATGGAAAATTGTTATATAAATTTTCATATGCTACTTTAAAACGTTCTTTTTGAGTAGATCACATGTATTTTTAAATCTCTCACCGCTTTTGCTTTTATTTAAACTGGAATTCATAAAAGTCTTGAATAAGACAATGTGGGACACAGTGAGTTTGCTTGGCGTATTTTCAAAAATCTTTAATCAGATCTAGTAAATTAAATATCGTAGGGATATAAAATGTAATTTATTGTATTACCGTTGCGACATAACTCAGATTTTATGTCATTGAATTGTATAAATCTGACGAAAGTATTTTTATGGAAAAAGATCATTCTTTTATCCAATCGAAATGTTTCATAACAATCTAAAGATAGATCAACCGAAATTGTTGATGTCAGATATTGGCAAACAATATTTAAAGGACTCAAAAGGAAATTCTAAGTGACATTTTCGATTATGAGCTTCAGTCACCGGGAAAACGTCAATAGATAATGGAATGAAAAGTTTGTACATTTTTTATCTGTTCAGTTTTTCATTTAAATTTAAAAATAAATTCATTGAAATTAGCATGTGAGCAGAGTTTTATTTTTAATGTACACTGATCATGCATGTACTTAGTGTATTAATCCATCTGATATGAATGTGCATTTCCATTTTACAATGTTGTAATTGTTTCAACAACTCGTTGTTCATTATGAATTCATTTGGTCAAAGTAATCGATTGTTTTTACAATGTTATCTATTCATTAAAAATGCTACAAAGATCAATGTTTCACTGTACAATTATATATATATATATATATATATATATATATATATATATATATATATATATATATATATATATATATATATATATATATATATATATATATATATGAACTGACTCGATTTATTCTCTTTTTCCTATTTATAGAACAATACGAAAATCTTAAGTATTTAGATCCCGTTGGAGCTATACTTATTGGTTCTTATATTTTGTATTCTTGGTATAAACTTGGTGCTGGTAAGTTGATGATTCTCACAAGATATTATATAAAACTATTAATAGAGTTTCGTTTTGCCTAGCAATAAGATCCAGGAGGCCAGACTCGTTTTATTTTGAATTCATCAGTTGGATGCATATGCACACCAATCTTGATGTTCATGCCTTATGACTAAAACGCTCGACACCTTGTCCACTTATTTACTGAATCCATTTACCCATTGACTTGTGAAACTGTGCGTCCAAAGAGAAGGGCATTGGGTTCGAGTCTGTGTATCAACACGTACACTGGGATACAGCTACATTCAATTCATGAATCTCAAACAGGGCAAAACACATGTTATGCATTCTCCCCCTGACTAATATCAAGCATTTCCGAAAATTGCTTTTGACCTAATGGAAATATTTAGGAGATCCTATCAGGATTTACTTTTGCCCAGAAAACCTAATTAATCTCAGTCGATATCAACTACAGGAAAATTCAAATGCTTATAGAGAAAACGTAGTTCTTTATTTGTAAAAGGATATGAGTATAGTTACGTTTCAGCTTGTCAAAAATCGCTTTTTCGTGACGTACATTTATGCCTAGTTTTCGTGAAGCAGCTATAAATGAATGAAGTATTTTTCAAATGCGGGTTTATGATCATTTGAAATTGAAGTAATAAATTATTTCTATCGAATGATATAAAACGATTAAATAAACTACATTTGAATCGAAAATAAAGACTGATAAGTTGAGTCTGTATAACGACTTGTTGTAATGAATAAGTGAATAAGTATAAATGAAATATTTTGAGGATATATGCTTTATAGATCCTAAGATCATATGGATTAGGTCCAAGGGCAAATTTATCAGTCTAAACAAACTTTGCATCGGCGTTACGTTTTTCTCCTCTCAAATATAAGATTTCAAGCTGTTTTAATCTCTCGAAATATTCTAAATCCAAGTTTGTTTATCCTTGTAAACAAACATAAAATTATTAGGTAGCTATTTTTTGATTCTTCAGATAGATCGAAATACTAAGATGCTTAAAATTTCTAACTAGATGAAATCTACTTTTTCTTGTGAAAGCAGTATGACAAAATACTTTGAATTACTTTCAATGACAAAACATTACTTACTATTTAGGTAAATTTTGACAACATATTCCACTATTATAAATTTAATTTAAATAAATAAATATATATATATATATATATATATATATATATATATATATATATATATATTTGCTTCCTTAGAGTAACGTTAAACGTTTTATTCACTTGGTTGAACTTGTTCATCATCTCATAATGTCTGGGTCTTGTAAACGATTTTTGTAAACAATGAATAGCAGAAAAATAAAGTACACAAAAACACTCTGGATAATAAACCAGTATTATCAGGGTAGGTTAAGGGTAAGAACAAATTGTTTTTGAACACATAAAGGGGATTCAGCTTCCGTATAGCCAAGGCTTCAATAAATCTTAGAATACGCCCTTGAAGGTTTTTGTACAACACTACGAAGTCTGACTTGTTATCAACCTTATAACCAGTCTCAGCCAAATGTCTCGCAATTGAGGAAGAATTCGGTCTATCACGTGATCTCATTTGACCATCGGAATTCATTTTTTTCTGCAGCCATTTGCGTATGTGTTCTGTCGCCCTTGCTTGCAGGTCACAATTGCTCCTCCCTAAGTACGTGTTTTCTCACATACATGTTAATTGATAGACACAATGAGATGCGACACAATCGCTTACGTGCTGTTTTGGTTTTCGGTGAAACATAGACCTTGTGTTTTCAATAATGTCAAGTTGGGCTGCAAAAAATGTCTTGTTGACGGTTAACTTAGGTCTCCGTTTGAACATGAGATTATTTGAGTCACCTCTTAGTGGTAACATAACGTCAAGTGGCTTTTTAGATTCCATAAGTGGTTAGTATATTGTTTTTGTGTACTTTATTATTCTTTGTTACTGCCTCCCTTTAATCCGTCTAGTTGACCTCTTGCTTTTCATATAAAAATGTCCTAACAAGTATATGTATGATCAGATTGTTCGAAATGTATTGCGGAAATATACCGCGTGATTCCGATAGTCTTAGTCTTCTGATCGCATTATCGAAATTTATCAAAGTGACTAACTGTTTTGAATAGAATAAACTTAATTTTTGTAAAGCGAGAATAACAAACATTGTGGCACGAAGTGAATTCATTTCATCTTCAACACACGCATTGATTTAGATAAATAAACAAAATATTTCGGTAAATGTAATTTTGTATGTAATATGTATAAAGTAATTTAGTTCACTAGTGAGAAAATATTCGTAAACACTTTCTATATTCCTACAAGTCCAAAATATTGAACAGATGATAATGAACGAATTGATTGAAAGGGAGACCAAGATGTAATTGAGTATAGCAGATATGTACAAAACTGTTGTGATGATACTGTACAGCCTTTTTCACCCCTATTTAATCACAATAATACTTTCATTGTTCACTTTGGTGAAATTTTCATTTCTAATTTATGGTTATTATAACTAGGCTTATGATTCTAACACTATTCAATAGATCGTTTGACCCCTTATGAAGACATAAATATTGAAACACATTCATTTTTTTCATACTCACTTCAATTATGATTGTTATTGTTAGTATTATTATCACCATTAGTGGGATCACTTCATTATGATTATTTTGGTAATTCCTAAAGCTTCCATTGTTTTGTCTTGTACCATCATAACGGTTTTGTATATATCTGTTATACTCAATTACATCTTGGTCTCCCTTTCAATCAATCCGTTCATTATCATTTGTTCAGTATTTTGAACTTGTAGGAATATAGAAAGTATTTACGAATATTTTCTCACTTGTGAACTAAATTACTTTATATATATTACACACAAAACTACATTTACCGAAATATTCCAAATCGATGCGTATGAATTCACTTCACCACACAATGTTTGTTATTGTTGCTTGACAAGGGTTTATCGTGGCTACTAATTACAGAAAAAAATTATTTATCAATATGAACGCCTTACATGTTTTCCTTAAATCACACAAATGGTAAATCTATGCTAATGTCATTACTAATTCAACCACTCTATCATTATCATGTATTTTTATTGGCATTAACACATCTTCACCATTATTGGTTTGTGAAACCATGAATGTCTATTATATTCTAGCTCAAATACCTAAATGGTGTATGTTATTAGTTTGATTATTTAGTTCCAGAATAACAATTTAATATTATGATTAAGGCTTTATTATTTGATATAATTTTCTCATCTGAACTGGAAATTGTACAGATTATGTTTAAAAAATACACTGACGCATTTTATAAGATTTGAAGTTCTTTAAATCTTATTGGTAGAAGAATACATATTCAACTTCTTAGTGTATAAAACTACAGTTCATCCTAGCTATTTCGATAGATAATAATGTCTAAAAATCTCCATCATATTATATCACTAATGTATGAACGAAGAATATTCTCTTCAGTTATTATTCAGTTTGTAGGTGTCAATGCCCAAATGAGACTTGATATTTTTAAATCAAAAGATCATTGAGTAGAAAGTTAGTAAAACAAGCATACGTTTTTCTGATATCCCAATGAGTAGAAAATTGTATTTCTAGTGTATTATTTGAACTTGTGTTAATTTATTCTGCGTTGTTTATTTACCCCTGAAGACGTGGCTTACAATAAGTCACGAACCACCGGAAATATAATTTTCTTATTGTGATATCGCGAAAATATATTTGTTATTAGGTTCTCTTCAAGTTGTACAGTTCTACATCCAAATCGATAATTAAATGAGTGGCCTGGTTTAAGACAAAGTACATTGTTCAAAGCATAGCATATGGACTTAGGATTGTTTACAATAACAAATCCAATATTGAGATGACTATCGTGAAGTGATGACTTGAATAAGCTTATTCGTCAAGTCAAATTATGATATTCATTATCAGAATAAATTTGGGTCAGGTAACTCTTTCCGATTTACAGTCGGTCCCAAGCCCGGGTTAAAGAGGAGGGTTGAGTATGGTGTCGGAAACCCCATCCCGTAGGAAAAAAACTTTCTAGAATTAACAATTTAAACTGTGCCCTGGAAGTTGAAGGAAGAATTAAGACGTCTTAATATGAATGCCAAGATTCTTTGGAAGTCCCAGCGTGGCTAAACAAAGGTCTAGTGGAAAAAATGAACAACTCGGTATTGGCCCATTCAGTGCAGACTGGTCATAGTACCAGTATAATTCCATCTTTTTTAATTGTTTATCGGGTCAATAATCTTTTTCTAAAGTCAATCAGATAGTAATTTCTGATTGTGTGGTAAAATGAAAATTCAAAGGTGTTTGCAGAATTTGTTGATTTCTGACGTAATAATTTGTATTCTGTTATCTTCATTTACAACTTTCGTTTATCAAATTTGCAAGGAGGCCAGGCATAATTCACAAACGTTGTTATGTACGTACTGAATTCTACATTATTAAATGAATGTAATTTTTCAGTCATAAAATGACTTCTGAATCGTAATAATCTTTTTTTTAGAACAGATACGTAATCTAGCTGGTCATACAGCTAATCCAAGGTTTATTCAAAAGATTGCATTCGTTTGTCTTAATTATCATCCGTTGATTGAACAATTGGATACCATTAGGGCATTTCATTTTGGTGAAAACTTCTTGGTTGAAGTAAGTAGCTTTTTCTTTTAATTTTTTTCATTCACGTTTACCTTTTAGTACACTACTCTCGATGGCAGAAATAATTTAATTCACTTGGTTTGGTAACATTAATCAGAAATATATTAGTTTGTCCGATCGATATTTAACTGAGAGTTCACACTTTTTGGTTTCACTCCTGTTATAAAATGTGGCCTGTGTTCGCCGCTGTTGTATAAAATAACGATACCGCCAATTAGAGAGCAGTGAATTATCGATCGGACCAATGACGCGTAAAACCCGTAGAGCAGTCTAGAACCCTGATTGGTCCTACTTTCCACCTAGCCCAGTCAGTTAAGTCCAGAACACCAATCTCAACCTCTGTGATATGAATCATTTTATTTCAAACATACTGAGTTTATATACCAATCAAACAAACCACAACGTACCCATAAAATATGAAACAACATTTTTACACGAATTAGCCAGATGTGGCTGTGAATGTGGGAGGTAATGATTAATAGACAGAGCATAATTCAAGATTGGTAGGTCGTATAATAATAGTTCATAGGTCAAAATAAAGCTTATAATAAGAGGGACATGAATATCAATAGTTTAGTTATTTAACAATTATACGATAAGAAACATACGTTTAGTATTGGTCCATCAATGGATCCCAAAAGTTACCATTCATTATGCTTATCGATCAGTTCATCCTGTTTACTTTGTTTAAGACTGAGTTTTCTTTCCGTTTTTTGTTATCTTCAAATGTCTTTGTATTCCTGTTGTGATATCATATTCGATATTTAAGTACTGAGTAGCTGTAGGTAGTTTGTGTACTCGTTATAAATACTTTTCTTATCACAGGATAAATAATTGTATATCTATTAAATTAAGAATCAGAATTATACGTAAATAGAAACTAGTTTAAGCAAATATGTTGGATTACATGAGGCTATTGAGAATACTACACCGTTTAAATAAACATTGCTTGTTAATGACAAAGAATGACTCTAAGTCCATCATAATTACTTTATGTTAAAAAGTCGGTCATATGAAAGGAATTCAGAAACCAAAGAAAAAATTATTTGTTTACAACAAAACATGGATTTTTTTTCTGCGTTTTGTCCTTAAATTTCCGTTGAAATCTCTTTCAGTTCAGTTTTTACATATTTTTCTGTTATCTTTCTCAGTGTTTTCAAAATCTACGTCTTGTTTTAATTGTTGGCTCACTGTATTGTTAGTCAGATTTTCTGAATATATATATATATATATATATATATATATATATATATGTATTTATAACTCATTTTTCTTTCGAATTACTTATCGATTCATCAGTTGCCCTGTTACTTTTCATTTCTTATTCATTAGGTTGACATTGTGTTACCTAAAGAAATGTGTCTTAAAGAAGCTCATGATATTGGTGAAGGGTTACAAAAGAAATTGGAAAAATTAGAAACAGTCGAACGAGCTTTTGTACACTTAGATTATGAATTTTCACATCGTCCAGAAAGTGAGCATAAAATAGTTTAAAGAAGAAAGAAATTTCATTGTATCCTTTTTTTTTAGTCAATTTAAAGTGTACACATACATAACCATTTATTACATGTTCCAACATAAAACAAAAGAACTTGACAATTTATTATATTATTTAATATAAATATTGATGACCATGAATATACCATGTATGTACAACAGCTTGCTAGATTTCTTTCATTATTCATTTCGTTTCAGAGACTTTCATGCTCTGTTTCTTTGTTTAGTTATTACATTTATTTTATATTTCACCGACACATATATATATTTTCTGTTCAGATTTACAAGAATACAATCAATACTAACATTCTGTATTATTTTATAATAAACAATAAACAGCCAAATAAAACTAATAGTTATTTTGTTAATTAATGTATAAAATCCAATGAAAACTGATATCTTTTTTTAACAACAAAGACAATCTATGCCAATATAAACCATTAGCTCCAAATTAATTAATTAATTTATTATTATTATTATTATTATTATTATTATTATTATTATTATTATTATTATTATTATTGATATTGAGACCATTGACTTCATATTATTGTTTATCCATTGTTTTACTATATATATATAAGCTTGTTCATCAGAGTTTATATTTATTGAAATTCTCGCTAGACGATGGGGGCTTTTTTGTTATAAAGAAAAAAAATTATTAAAAGATAATTCAAATGTTAATATGAGTATTTGTGTTTTTCTTGTTTTGATTTCATTATTTTGTTTACTTTCACTGTTTCCCTGAATAGTCCATATTATCATTAACATAATCATAATTATTATTATTATAATTATTATTTAAAATAAATACTATCGAGTTTTTTTTTCTCTGTCATTCATATAACTTGGTACAATAATGATTTTCGATGATTATTTAGTTTTTTTTTTAAAATTAGTTTATAAGGTGTACATAATTTATTATGATTGTTGACTAACTTTTTTTTTCTCAACTGAACAGTAAAAACAAATAGATTGATTTGTGTTATTTTCTTGAATATATTAAGAATAATCTTTCTACTGTTTCAGTTTTTTTATGATATTTATTTTCATGTTGAGATGTTTACTCTTCTAAATCTGTAATTAAAATATCACAAGGTTAAATAAATGATTATCAGTGATGTTTGATGTTCTTATTTACAAATTATATGGTTTTACAATTAAAATACAAAACGACAACATAGAATAATTGATAAATCTCAACCAATATACAATGAAAACATTTTTGCTATAATATTGAACAATCCATTCATCTTTATCTGATTGTTATTCTTCAATGGGAAAATCTATAATCATACCGAATCAAAAGAAAACTTATCAGTAGGTCTGCGTAAAATTACCTGAAGACAACTTTTTCATGAATACTTCTTAAGAACAAATAAATTGATTCACTGGAAAGTTTAGTGACCATAAATTTGACTCCAGTTAGATCGTTTCTTGATTACTATTAAAATATACAACCTGGCTACCCTCGTATATAATAAACTTAACTCGCGTTAGTGAATAACGGAATTAAAATAAGTCAAACACGATAATGGATTTTGAATACGCATACTTCATGCAGTCGTTGATTTGAACGGACAATCAGGGAAATGCAACGAAGGAGGCGAAGTGAAATGTAATGATGCGCATAGCAGTTGTCTCGCTTGCCTTCTCCACTACGTGTCATTTCGTTTGGCATGGCTCTCTCCTCTCCACTTCGTTTCACTAATGATCAGTTCAGATCAATGAGTGTGCGAAATATACTCATCCAAACTTCATCCTCGTACTTGACTTGTTCCGACTTAAGTTTATGAAACTATACGAGGCTTGGTGGCATGTATATCTTCATAGCAATCATTCATATGGTCCAAATAAGGTCAGATATAGGGTCACTAAATGACTGGCTATCCTCACTTAACACTTTTTCTGTATAACCTGTGGTTATGAAGTTTTGTAAATAAATTTTTTAACAAGGGGAGAATCGTTATATTGTTTTGTTTCTGATCAACCTCCACATGATATCTAGTTCTAAGTAGTCTCTATGCAAGACGTTAACGCGATAGTACAATACAAGTAAACCCGAAATATTAGAAATTATTATAATTTTATGTAGTTTCTATTTAGATATATTACTCCAGTGAATATAAACATCAATGTTTTAACTCCTGTCCCAACGAAACATTCTGGAGGTAAGAGAGGGTTATGTATTGACTTATTTTCTTTAACCAGTTTGATTGTGAAGAGTTTATTATTCTTCTGAATAACAAATGTAGATGATGTTCAAGAAAATAATGAATACTTCACTAATAAATTGCATAACTCAGATAACGCAACGAAAGTAAAAGTATTTACCTGATCTACAAATATTCTATATTAATTTGAGAGACATATAATGTAGATAAGCTCTATCACTTTCGTAACTACTGTATTCATTTCTCATCCAGTTTAATACTCTATATATATTTAACTACAACATGAAAGCTCGTTTTACTTATAAAAATCTATCATAATGACATAATTCAGTCAGTCAGATAGACCCAGCGTAGAACCTGGTAAATGTGTACATCGGTCCAAGTTGTCATACCCCATTAATATTGCTAGATGAATTGTCAGGGATAATCCCAAATTAGTAGAGGTAGTAAGAGTATTATTAATAATAGGAAAAATTAGGTATTTGAGATACAATTCCGAAAGAAATATAAATTAGCGAAGCACTAAAAAAAGACAGTCAATTAAAATTATTTTAATGTAATAAATATAGTTAGACTATAATTAATTTCTGAAGAAAAAAATGACACAGTTACATGTTTAGGTAGTTGTGATGATAGGCGAAATGGTTGAATGAAGCATTGAAATGATTGACTTTAGTCACTTGTTAACTTATTCACAAAACCAATCTGTAAAATATTAACCGAATTCATCACAACCATAAAAATTTTTGTTTGACTGCCTGGATGTATTTTTAAGTGTTGAAGTTATCGGTCAAAATTGAAGGTTACAAAACTACCAACGATCTGCCAGTTGCGTGCTATATTTAAACAGGAAATATTGGTTCAGCGAAGAGTTTTCTTTTCGGGAATTCATTTTCAAAGCTATACAATCTCAAACATATATACTTATTTTTCAGGATGATAATAAACTTCTGTTAAACATAGTAACAATCAGGTAGAATGAACAACGGTATCAAAAAATGTTAATCAGGGAAACTTATAATAGATTTATTGTTAAGGGCCTAAATATTCATCATAAAAATAGTCAGGGAAATTATCATTGGGAAAGGATGGCTCAACATGATAAGATGAAATGTTGAAATCGAGATGAAACTTAATCAGGAGGATCATAGAAGCTTAGTAATCGGATACTTTGTGAACACATGTCACTCAAGCCAGACAGTGTCTGCATTCATTCATCTGCCAAAAGCTGTTATATTGCACCTTCTTAACATTGCCGTAGTAATAACATACATCTGGGAAAACCAGAATTGTATCCAAAAGAGATCGATACAATCTCTTATTCTACCATGGTCTTAATGCTTCATAGTTTTTTCTCTTCATACTTTTCTTCCTCTACAGCTATCTGCTACCCCTTTCATCTTTGTCTCAAACTGGTCTATTTCTGTTTCTTTGATGTGCTTTAAGCCATCGATTAATAAGGGTATTATTTCATCTATATTCCCGTGGCATACATACAAACGATTCGCTACTTTTTTATTGAGTATTCATTTTAATTTTGACTAAATCACCTTCTGTCCTTATAAGTTATTAGAATGATCATTTAATTATCTTACATATTATCAATTAAGAATATATCATAAGGGCTTAAATTTTTATTTTACCCTAATTATAGGGAGAGAACCAACTATGTAATGTATCAATATGATTTTAAGTTTGTAAATAAAATTTATCACATTAAATCATTTTATTAGCGACATCATTGTCTATTAGCTCTCAAAACAATGTATTGACATTATGAGTAAAGAAATTTTGTTTTACATATCGATTGCCCTAATGAAGTCAACAATGAAATTTACAAACTTATAACTTAATATTATCACTGTCAATTAATATTTGAGACTAGATCCATTACAACACTTATAATAAACATCAATAATTAACCATAAAGGGTATAGTATATACATATATAAAATATAGACTATTTAACATTCCATCACAATCATTTTCTTCATTCTTTCTAAACAAAAAGAAAAATGACTTATTTACTGTTCTTTCTCTTTTAATATAAAGATATTTATTATTAGATGTTAAACAATTTCATTTCGTTATTTTTATATTTTATTATGATACGTATTTATTGAAAGAATGTTTCCATTGAATAAAGTAAAAATATTGATCAAAATATCATCTCAATTTGATCCTGTGTAAAGAAAGAAATAAAATGAAATGAAATGAATAATACGTTGTGTTTTTATTTTTAAATGTAAAATGAATTGTTTTTACCAATTACATATCGAATATCTTATAGAAACAAACTTGTTTTCATTTTGTTATCACTACTACTCATTAAAAAAAAACCTACTACTGTTTATTTAGTTATAATTGTTTCTAGTTCTTAATACTGATTTGATCATTAAGTGTATATTAACACCTAAGGGGGGGGGAAACATTTAATGAACTAAGAGATGTTATTAAATACAATCTTTAATAAAAGAAGTTTTTGACGTTTAATTGAAACTAATTTTGATATAGTTATTTTAAATTTGTTTGTAAATTGTACAACAACTCCTAAAATGATCAATACACTGAAGGAATTTTTCTGAATGATTTATTCCTTCAAAGTTTTATATTTTAATCAACAAATAAATTTCAGAATGTTGAAGAGATTTTAGTGAGAAATTTGTCAACCAAAGATGTTAGAGGTTTTGAATTTTTCAACCTCTTAAAGTTTGCTTATTTCTCAGTTGTAAAAACTACCATGACATCTGATCCAATGAAATATGATCAAATGAAATTTCAGAAAATTGATTAACCTCAAGAGTAATTTCGTTTGGTTAAAGT